CCAAAATGAATAACGTAAATCAAGCGCACCAGTCAAAAAATATTTACACTGGAATCAGAACAGTCCGGATCGCCATCATTTCTCAGTGTACTTTTGGAGTAAAAGGTCTGACGGGACTATTCAACGTAATGTCTAGCTTAAGAGGACGTGGTCCGGACAGTATATCCATTTTGGGAGTTTCGTATCGTTTAAAGTCAAACGTAATTTATTACGGTGTTTGACGCAAAGGGCAGAAGGATTTTCGTGGTCGAGTGCCCCGAAGAAGAGCTTAAGATTCTAGAAGGCGTTTTTCGCTTAAATGGATATTCCAAGAACATTGCCGAAAGACCATCAAAGCCTTTGGTGTTAATAGCAGAGAAAAAAGGGACCCATTTAAAGGGGCACGCCAAGCGAACTTCTGAGAAGGTGCCTGAGTCAATCTGTATCAAACACATTTCCAACAGCCGACGCCCATGCACTGTTCTCGCCACTCCCATCCTATACGGAGAAATCCAGGAGAAACTTTCAGCCCAGACCACCTCCACGTACACCTATTCCCTTACCTACTCCTGGTGGGCAGAATATATGGGTCGTACGAGCTGGCGTTTTTCCAAAAGAGTACGAGCCCATCTTCCATTGTACTAACAGTTCCATTCTAGCGCATAGGGTGGACTCAGATCATCGCGTGAATGCCAGCAAGGCTTTCCGAGCGATCTACAAGCTGCTAAAATTGTTTGGACAGCGTCTGTTCGCTACGGCAGAAGTGACTGCCATCAAGCTACGCAAACCGGTCCTGTGCGCCCAAAAGTACCTTGTAACGGCGCCGCAGTTACTATGGCCGAAAGTCGCAATTTAAACTATGCGCAGCTTACTAGCTTTCTCGGGCATATGTCCCCCTGACGCTGATCAGATTGTTGACCCTAGTACACAGAGGACACATCTTCAACTTTAACGCCGTTGAGACTATCGCCGGCGGGAGGGCAAAGATCACACATCAAGGTATGTAGAATAAGTCCGCAGGCTCACTGACTGCTAATTAAACTAAACTTCCTCCTCCTCTAAATGGTTTTTCGAACCTTCTCAAAGGGAAACAGTGAATGTGTGAGACCCTCGGGGTGCTAATTATCTCCGCGGCCAACTAGACCAGAGGCAAGACAAGCCACGATAACATGGGCGTCCGACTCAACCCTACAGACACTATAGATGATCTACGCACCAGCCACGTATGTTCTACCGCCTTCTTTAGAATTGCCCAAGGTAAGATGTTTTCTATTCGGCAGACATCATTCCATTAAAATGTCAATACTTACCGACAGTAGATGTTAACTGGTCCTGCATGCTCTTGTCAATCGAACAAGAATTAGAGTCAAGATTGTAGTCGCAATTTGAAAATAAGCCCGAGGTGAATGTGTCCGGCATTTGGCTAAACATATCACCCTGCAGTTGCTTTAACGGTGCATTTTTCGTCTGCTTTTTGGCTGCGGAGAAGCAGAGGTGGCTGCAGGACAGGGGTGTACTTGAGCCCAACGAGTCCGAATGCCTCTTTGCCATGAAGAAGATTGCTGCCACCAGGAGGATGAAGGAAATGCAGACAGCCAGCGCGATGAAACCCACAATGTACGTATTGGTAAAGGCAGCGCTGCGTTCGAGCTGAGGATCTGTGGCTCCAGCGGTCAGCCCAAACGCACTTGACGACCGTTTGGATACCACTGGCTGCGCCGGGTCAATGATAATTATGAGGTCGGCGTGAGAACTTTTTGGCGGAAAGCCGCCATCCTGGACGCAAATGCGCAGTCTTTTGCGGATCTTAACGTATAGAATTAGAAAATGGTATTTAGAAAACCAGGACTAATCATGAATTCTACTTGCAGAGACAATGGCTCCATATCTTTTAAATAAGACGAGTTACTAAATCCTTCCCTAAACCCGTTGTTTTGAGACGACGTTTTATTACTGTGCAACACATAACTCTTAAAGGGGTAATTTTCCAAAAGTTAGGTTATTTACTATATGGATCCTGCTATTATTAATAATTCAAAATAGCCGCCAACAGCCCTGCTTATTTAACCTGGAGTAAATATAGGCTAATTTTGGTAGCTCTTAGCGTGCAACTAATCTTGTTACTAGCCTGTCGCCTTCTCATTTAGTATTCGGTTGTCGACACTTCGGTCTTTTGTGCAATACGCCGTCATTTGTAGCGCCGGCCTTTTTATGAAAGATTTTGCTACCTATGCAACAAACTGCGTCTTTACAGCACCCAACACACACCACGCTCCTCTCCACTCATCTGGAAAACGTATCAACTATTTCAGGCGCTATTTTGACAAAGACGTGGAAAAATCTATTATTCACTAGAAGAGAAAAACTTTTACTAGCATTTTTCATTCGCGAGTAGACATATTGACCCTTCCAAATTTTGATAATAGATTTTATCTAACTTCTGAATGTTGCATGATTCCAAACATGCCCACTTAAAATAAGAAGAATAATAATCTAGGCAGACAACGGTGTCGGGGTTCTACTCATGTGTGTACCCAAAAACATACCTTCTGGTGTGTCGGCAGTGGTGCGGCCACGAAGAGCTCGCCGCTCTTTTCGTGCAAGTGAAAGTACTTTTCATCATTTCCTCCCTCTATTTGGAAGCGTACAGCTGAATTTATTCCAATGTCCGCATCTTTAGCTTGCAACCTAATAATCCGATGTCCTGTTGGTTCCAGCGGAGATAAGCTCACCTTATTCCCAAAAATAAACAAAGGCACGTAAGACAGTTAGCAAAGGCCATACAGGAATTCTAGTTAACTTACGACAGCCAGAGTTGTAATATGCAGAAGTTAGGCAATATCTTGCTGTGGAAAATAAAGCTAAATATTCATAGTTGGATATAATTGGTAAGTGCATTAAAGGTAAAACATAATTATATCTGGGAATTTTAAATAGAAACCTGCGTCTATTAAATGTCACCTCCCACTTAATGTGTATATATATCGCATTTACATGGGTTTCCATGTACAACTGTGTTAAAATATATAGACACAACTGCGGCCACCTTAAGGAAAAATCGTGAATGACAAGGTTTATTTGAAGTGAAATGTGGTAGCTTTTCGATGGTAGAGCGGTTACTGTTCAATGCATTTTTCTAATTCGCAATTAACCTGTTATTACAAATATTCAAATAGCTCTTGAGAAACTGGAAACCCCCTTCCTCGTTTAATACAGGTGGTCCTGCGCAAGGTTACGAGATGGGTGTCTAGGCCCATCTCCTTACACTAGTTCAAGTCCTTACTCTAAATTAGCCCTAACCCCAATCCTACCTAGTTCTCCCCTACGCCTAAGGTTAACCAGACCATAAGATCACTGCAACTTAGCATAAGGCCACCTAAATATTGGACGGTGTTCCTATCCTCGTAATATATCATGCTGCATCTGTATAAGGTCTTGAGAGACCGCACCTCGGGCACCGAAGAATTTCCCCACGGAAACCTGAACGCCGGAGCATGGTCGTTCACATCGTTCACAGTTATGTGAACCTGGGCAGAAGACTTCAGTGCTCGATCACCGCCATTTCCATCCATATCTTCCGCAATAACTGTCAGTAGATATGCAGGCACGGTCTCCCGATCAAGTCTTCCGATGACGTATATTGAACCATTCTTTGATATCTGTAGGGGAAATACATCATTGAAAATGTGGAAGCCAAGAAAGTCATTTTGATTTATTGCATAGACAGACGCATATTGGAAAGTAGATACCCGACCAGCATAAGAGTTCATTCTACTGCAACTTGAGCAGGAGATTATGTGAGTTATTATTCCATTTATCAATATAATACGTAGTAATGGATGGTAAGATTAAGCTTTTAAAGTCAATTTCCACGTGCCTGATCCATTTTATGTTCCGAACCAGAAAACAAAGTGGTCGCAGCAGAGAACTATCAAGTACCTCATTCCTCAGGGCAAGGTTGACGCTGATTTATTGACGGAGGTTGGAGGTGGATGCACTGCATGCCTTATAAAAAGGCTAGGGTGTTTTGCCATCCGTTTAGCTCAGCTTACGCGGTGCGACAATTTCGCCGGACAAATATGTACACTGGTTCCCTTTGCCCAAATACATTTGACAATTCAGCTGACGTTTTTACTTCTTGGCAATTAATCAAACTTAATTGGTACGCCATAATTTTACCTCTGTCAGCTTGAAGCCTGCTAACTTTTTGCCATCCAGTGGGGCGTTGTACACGAAACACTTGCTCTTACTAGTGTTTTTCTTTGAGCATCTTGAATAATATATTGGTGTAAGTTATACCTTAGTGCTAAAAGTGATAGACTTTAAATCGCCTAGTTTTGTTGTCAAATAAATTATAAATTTCTAACTAGCAATGGCCCTTTTAATACTATTCAAAACGACTTCCTTCCTTTAACGTTATTTCCGAACAAGTTTGCGCGCGCGTTAGGCTGTTTGAGGAGACATCTCGTGCTTACTTCCTCTTATTTATATTATATATTAGATGGAAACAGTAGTAAATCTAAAAATGCCAAAATTTACGCGTGTTGCTCAACTGTCCATTGTTTTATTAGTGCTATAGCTTGCACTGCTCTACTTGTTTAGAGCTTGGAAAATATTTATTGGAGTAAAATTTAAATTCCATATAAATAGATGGGCAAATAGAATTTTATTCGAAGCGCTTGATTCTGTTCACCTCATTGTGAAGTTATCCATATAGATCCAATTCACTCACGTCCATTCATACTAGTTTTGCCAATTTTTATTCTTCAGTTCTTCTTTATCTATACTTCTGGTTCTTTCCGTCTTCAGTTTTTTTATATATTTCTCGAAAATCTTGGAGGTATAGGGTTTCAAATTTTTGTATGACAAAGCATATAAGTTTATTTCCTTTATACATTGCTCAAATAAAATAGCAATACAGTTTTAGATATTTTAGTTGGCCTTGATTGAATTTGATGCGCCCATATACCCTCTCTCTCCGAGGAATGATCATCAAATTCCAGAAATTAAACTCATTTTTAGGAAAGAAGATGTAGCAAAACAATGATACTATCTCTGATTGTTGCATTTTCACTTGAAAAGTAGAGAATGCCTACTTTGTTTTAAATTAAAACTTTAGATAGAATAGCTCTGTCGTTTTGACTTTAACTTCCATAGAGTTTTTTCTTTTCTACACTACGTTAACATGACCAATATTTCAATATTTTTCCCTTCCAGTTCACTTAAATAATGTTAAACTTACGCAATAAAATGCGCACACCTCAGCCAACGACGAATACTGTTTACGTTAGGAATGAATTCTTTGAATATTTTGACATTTATCTGTGGTCTATCCTTGCAAGTCCACGACTAATTACCTCTCGGGGCCTTTACCCGCATTGGAAATCGTTCTTTTTCAAAAGGATTTTCCCCGAGCAACTATTACTATCAGGTGCTTTACCCTCCTAGTCGGGCATATTTACATGAAATAGTGCAAAAACGTTCATTTGGATTTTCTGATAGCTTTCAGGCCTTTGCCATAACTAGGCGTTTGCGTATAGAGCTTCTCATCGAAAGGTCAGAGCTGCGCTTTCATTGGCTCTTACTGATTTCTTGTAAAACAGGGACCGTTGTTGTATTACCATTACAATAACTGAAAGAAATCGAAGCATGCCTATTTTTCAATTTTACATACAGAGACTTCGTAAACAAAGGACGGGTAAATTGACTGAAAATTGCTTACTCTGAAGGGAATTCCTTCCTGCAGAAAGTAGTACTTTATTGCGGCGTTTTCACCCAGATCGCAGTCAGATGCGTGTACCGTTCCAACTATCTGTCCCTCAAGCAGGTGATTTTCCTCATCCACAGAGAAATGGTACTGTGATTGTATGAAGGTCGGTATGCAGTCGTTGATGTCCTCCAGCCACAAGGTCACTTGAGCCGAGGAGCGCATCGGTGGTTTTCCATGGTCTTCGGCTATAATCTGAACGATGTAGAATTTCATTCACTGAGAATCGCGTATCTTAAATTAATTGCATGCCTTCATCGCTTCATACCTGAGCGGCAGATGAAGAATATAGACTAATCTACGGGACAGGACTAGGGAAAGAGAAAAAATAAAACCATTTGCTGAAGAAATACTTTATTTTTTGACATTCAACTGGTGTGCTAACTCAGCTCTGGATTTGAAATATAAAGCCTGGCCTGACCTAATTATTTTAATGTTTCATGATAATGGGCTGTAATCCTCTGTTTATGAACTAGTACGTTCATATAACGAGATGCACAAACATATCTTACTGCAGCCTTTGTTAAGCAACTACCTTCTATTGATTACTAGTTGCTTTTTGCTCATTTCTTTTATCTCACCCTCGGTTTTATTCCTTTATCTAGACCTAGAAGAATACATTTGGCGAAAATTCACTGTCCTTTGCGCCCACCAGAACTCCCTAACAGCACCGCAGTTACCATGGGCGAAAGTTGCTACCCCAACAGCACACGGCTCATCACCTGCCTCGGAACCTGGTCCCGAGACGGACAAGTCGCTACTTCGACCGCGCGCAACTCATCATCTGTCTCGGCCACCGGTCCGCCTAGACACTGATATTTTGACCCCAGTTCTTCTCACCCCCATCCACAACGCGATTGGCAACCGTACTACTTATTTACACCAACCCACATGGTTTATTTATTTAATTACCACAGGGTGTCCCAAAAAATGTTTACACATTTACATACTTGTAGATTTGGTGGGTGCCACAATTTTACTATCAAAAAATTTAAAAATAGTTATAAGTAGCATTTTATTGTTTTTTTTAACTGAACGTTCTCAAACTGACGTCCATTTTGATCTTGACAATCCTGAAAACGCGAAGCAATGGAATCGCATCCACTATGAGGCAATTCCCTTGGTATTCGGGTGCATTCATGTTCAATGTCTTCTCTCAATTCAGCCACTGTTGCAATAGGCAAAATGCAGTGAAAAACAATAAAATGATATTCGTAAATATTTTAAATTTTTAAAGTAATAAAATTATAATGAACACCAAAGTTACAGTTATCAAAAATTTCTTTAAATTTTTGGGAAACCCTGTACATACATGTACAGGCTTGAAGAGAATTTATCGATGGCAAACGTATGCTCATCAATTTACCTTTCAATATTAACAATGGAATTTTCGAAACTTTCAAATTTACCTATTTTTGTTTCATTGTACACATTTCGCTGTCTGTCCACCGTGAGATCCCACGCTTAAAACCCCCCATTACGACTATTCCCGTTTTACACGTTCCTGAGGTAAGGAGTCAGTAAGAAGGCTTACCTAACCTACCATTGTCAAATCATTTAGACCGAACTCTCGGAAATGTATACTTGTAAAACCGAGCAGTAAACCCTACGAGGCAGTGGAAAAAGGACAAAATGGACTAGCCTTCGTAAAATGTTAAGCCAATGCATGACATCTGCCATTAAATGGTCATTAATTCGAGCTTACAATTGCGTACCTATTTTACTAAATGGGGCACAGTCTGGAAATGTCGGCTGAATAACAGTCTTTTTTTATTTATTTTGTTGTTTTAATATAATAAAGTCCATCTGTTGCTCTAGCAGCGCAGTGCATACATCGTATGCTTTGAGCACGAGAAATCGTTGCATCTACTATGACCAAACGCACGATGTTTCTAAATTTCACAATCCATTCAAGAGTTAATCTTTTTTAATCAGACACCGTTATATAATGTTATATGGACTCAAGGTAGTCGTTGGTAGTCCGTTTTTTAGATAATAGTGAGATACCGTGACTTTTTTACTATTTATCCAATCTAAAATGGTAAGCCAGCGTCATTGGTTGTTTTTTTTCATTTTCATGGACCGTCCGAAACTCCCCCGAAATCGGGAGTTTTAATTCCGAGACTAACGCACTTCTGGAAAATCAGGCTGAAATTGCGCAAACTGCTTCCTCTAAAAATGGGACAACGATGGGTCACATTTGACTGGATTAACCACGGCGCCTGGAAGTTTCCGTAATTGTAGCATAAGTTGACTACTTCTATTAGCTTTCAGAAGACAGGCCTAGTCACTGATTTGGCGCAAAAAGTTTATCTTATTTGTTTACTCGTTGTTGATGGAGTTCTGTAGTCTCGAATATATATACATTTGTGCATTTAGTCGGTAAAAAAGGACTCACTGGTTACCCAATTAATTCAAAAACACTAATTGTATTAACTTACCATGCTTTATTCCGATTATCATGCAAAGCTGTCACTTAAGGGCAGATGTCATTGCCATTTAAGACAAGGGAGACTTGAATTGCGATTTCTGACCTAGTAGACATCGTCAGCAGTCACACTCAAACTCTCGTGGTGCATCACGCGAGGCTCGAGCTCGCGACCTTTTTGACCGGAATTCTAACGTTGTAACCACTGAGCAACGAGCTGGTTGCCTTGTCGGGACATATTGGCGTTAAGTAATGAACGTTCACCGATCGCAAACTGACCTCTCTTGTCCCGCTTTGCATTGGATCACATTTCTCGGGCCCTGACAACAGCCGCACAACGGCTCGTAGTCTTAGACAAGTAGTACTGCCGGTGAACGTTCATCAACGAGTGCCAATATCTCTCGATCTAAACTGGCAAGACAACGAGCTCGTGGCTCAATGATTGGAGCGTTAGACTTCTAAGCAAAAAAGATTGCGAGTTTGAGCCTCGGGTGGTCACCATATAGGGTTGGGTGTGACTAGCTGATGATGGCTAATAAGCCAGAAATGACCATTCCAGTCTCCCCTGTCTCTGCCAGCGATCATATCTGCCTAAGACTACTAGCCACTGTGCGGCTGCTGTCAAAGCCCGAGAAATGAGACCCAAGGCAGAGCTGGACAAAGGAGATCCGTTAGCGATCGGTGAACGTTCATCAAATAGTATCTGACCCTTTAGATTTTCAATATGAAAAGCCTTCTGTATCCTATGTTTCAGAAAACCCTTTTAGCTTTTTCGTCTTTAAAGCATGTTGTAATTTTTGGACTTTAGATCATTGTACATGCATTTCTTGGAAGACGCTGGTGGTTTGGCTTTCATTCCAGTATACATCAGAATCCTCGGCTGGCAATATTTTTAAAAAAGTTGCCTTGTTTTATTGCATATCCACATGCTATGTTTGTACATTTAACACAGTAGAATAGTGTCTGCCCAAAATATCGCAGTTTCCGGAATTAAGTCGATACCAAAGCGGATGCTGACAAACCTATAAGTGAGCCTATTTCAATATCAAAGTAATCAACACCATGGCAGACACTCGCCCTCATTTGACTCTGTGTAATAAAAACGAATGTGTAAGGTTCAGCTGTTTTTAAATTTTTTTCGTTAGTGTGCCAGGACATGACATTGGATGGTGCTTCCATCTTTAATGTGCGTCCAGAATCCGAAAATTAACATTCTGGGGGATTTTCGGCTATTCACGTGGACTTGCCCTTACAGTAAAGTGTCTTGTTTTGCTTCAAATGATTGCACTTCAAATACTGTGATCATTTGCCCTCCAGCGGACGAAACTGGTGCGATAAATAACACTGACTCGGAGAATTTTGAGGCTCTCGGAAGCATGCTATTCATAAACATTGAAGCAATGTAATGTACTTTATAACAGTTATAAAGATCTGAGTTTTCATGTCCACATCAGACCTAGCCGTTGCAAATGTCTTCAGGGAGGATCAAAACAGAAATTTAACATACAACCTAAACGAAATGGAACGTTCGAATTGATATCTGGTCGGAATGCCAGCTGATCTCGCATGGGAAAAGGCCTCCAAGCAAGGGGTAGAATTTTCTCATAAACTCGTGAGCGCAACTGTCATTGAAGTTAGAAAGACGCTCACCAAATCGACCGGTAAGCGTGGAAACATTCTAGTAATAGTGAAAAGGCTGGAACATTATATGCAAGTGATAAGACCTGATTAGGGTTCACGTCACTCAAGCTACGGTGTAGAAGATGTTTATTACAGATTCGTGGTTCTGCCTCTGTGCTATTACGTTAGATCGGACTAATTTTCTTAGAGTTAGTCTAGAGCGATTGAGTCATCTTCTTCGCAATTACTACCTGAGACTCGCATGTTCACTTGTATTAGCAGTAAGTCGACATTTCTATCATGAAAATGAGAAGCAGTTCCTTCATATTCAAAAAACGCCAATTACATTTTGTCATTCTATAATTTCTATAGTTCAAGAATATTTTCTATGGTCTCCCACCTTGACCCATAATTTTGTATACAACTCACTAAGAACTTTAATCCAGCAGGCATCTGCTCGCGATCCAACCGCTCCTTGGCGATGATTTCGCCGGCATCGTTGATGGACAGAAGCTGCCGGTGTTGTTCGGACGGCCAAAGCAATGAGTACGTAATCCGGCCGTTTTCACCCGCGTCGATATCTCTAGCGAGAATACGTCCGACAACTGCGTCAACTTCATTGTTCTCAGGGGACTAAAACAGCATAAATAGGATCGTTCATCGTCTACTAGAAACAGTGTCAAGGACTACCTCACCCTAAAGATTGTAAAATAAGTTCATTTTATTTAGTTAATATAAACTGACCAATTAAGCGTGTAAACTCTATGCGTGGGGTTAATTTGTCGCAAAGGACGAGACTGGCACCTGATTGGTAGATGACGCGTGGAATTTTCTGCGATAAGAGACTTGGTCTGTCTAAACTTATTACCAAACGCATCCCTTTTAGGTGTGTGTCAGACGGAAGTTCGTCCGTCGCAAAAGACTACACCCATTGATTGTCCCGTAGCATGACGTGCACAGGGACGGGGACTTACGCGTGACTTAGCGAATAGTGTAGACTTGTGCAGCAACTACCGCAATCTCGTCTCCCTCATCAACTTTAGGCCGGTGTCTAGACGCAGTCAAGAAAACCGGAGGGGACGAGGTCGGGAGCAGTGATTGA